GGGGGGAGGTGGGGACAAGGGGCCGGCTCACTCGTGTGTCCCTGCCCGAGGGGGCACGTCCTGGCAGGGATGCCCCGCAGGGATGAGGGAGAAGCTCCCTTGGCTGCATCTCCTCAGGTCCCGAGCTGGTGTCTGGCAGGAGGTGGTTCCTTTGGGCTTCAGAAACAGCTGCTCGTTTGGATTTCATTAAACCCTTTCCCCCCCCCTCTTACTTCCTTAAAACTTTGAAATGAGCCCAGTGTTTCCAGTAAGGCTGCCACTGGCTTCCAGAACCCACACAGCTCTGGGGCATCCTGCATCCACAGCAGGCAGGCTCTGTTCCCTCCACTGCTCTTCCCTGCCCAGAGGTCCCTGGGCAGTTCTGTGTGGCCTGTGACACCAACAGAACCCTGAGTTACAGTCCTTTGCTGCCCTTGGCCTCTCCAGGCTCCTGCCAAGGGATGCAGGCAGATCCAGCTGTGTTAGTGCAGCTGCTGAGGGTGAGGAATGGCAGGAATGGCAGTGCTGGTGCTGCTGGGCTTCCTTTGGACACACCCAACTGTGCTCTGCCTCCAGGGATGGGCTCCTGCAAGGTCTGGGTGCTGATGGTGAAGATGTTTCCTGCAGTGCCAGCCCTGAGCTAATATTTTGTGTGGACTTGGAGGTTGAAATGGAGAAAGAGCAGTTCCTGAAAGGTGAGAGGGTGGCTCAGAGGACTTGAGCTGGTTGGTGGGAGAAGTTTGAGGAGCCTTCTCCCAGCCTGCATGCTGCTTTGTGGGTGTGGGGCTGGTGCTGCACACTGTCTGCTGGCTAAATGGAGGCATCAAAGCTGGGGGTTGAAGGAGACTGACCAGGGGGATTGCCTAGGGAGTCAGATTATTTGGCAGAGTACCCAAGGGCCAGGGCAGAGAAAGTTGCCCAGTTGCCATCCAGGCAGTTGCCCACTGAGCTCAGTGTCCATCTTGCCTGGCAGTAAATCCATTTGCTTTGGTGTCCTCAAGGATCTGGCACAATATCCTCCCTCAGACACATGCCAAGGACCACCTGAAGCAAGAGAGGTGACAGCTCTGAGGAGTCACTCTTTTCTTTGGGCTTGTTTCAAACAGCAGATGAGGGAGCAGGACCCCCAAAAGCAGAGCTGCCCCAGTGGAACAGGCTCTTCAGCATGAACAGACATCGATGGACTTCACACAAGGTTGGTGAAAGGACAAGGAGTGTGGGGCCAAGGCAGTGCTCACTCCTGAGAAGGTCCCACCTGCAGGCAGATCTAAGTGCCCCCAGGCTTTAGAAAAGGCATTGAGGGAGAGCAGCCTGGGGGATGCTGAAACTCCTCCCTGGCACTGCCAAGGCACTGCTACAGCAGGGCTGTGGGCTTTCAGGGGTGTCTCTGAAGTTCTTCTGGACCTCCACGGTCCTTTCCAGCTGAGCAGGAAACGGTCTCAGGATGCTGACATGGTCAGTGGTGGGCAACACATGGTATTGGGACATTTGGTGAGGTGGGATGGGTGGGAGTGAAACAAGGACAGTGGCAAGAGCCAGGCCTTTGGGATTCCCTTCCTGGTCTTCTTACAGATGCCCACTGTGACTGTGGCTGTTTCACTGGGGCAAGTGGTTGCCCAGCAGCCCTGGAACAAGCTGTGTCTGCAACATTATCCTGCCATCCCTGACAACCCCATTGTAGTAGACCTGGAGCTCCCTAACACATTGATCCAAAGCAGAACAAGAGATGCCCCTGCAGACTAGGTCTTCATCTGAGATGAGGGTCAGATCTGGGATGATGGTGATTTCCCCAAATATCTGCAAGCCAGAGGAGACCACAGATGGAGTAGGATGTGCATCTCCAATCCAAGACAACATAACCAGTGCAGATCAGCAGCAGAGCAACAAATCTGCAGCAGAGCAGAGTTCCCAGCTGCTCAGTCAGGGCTCTGAGAGGCTCTGAGAAGATGCAGGACCTGGTAGAGCTGCAGGAAGCAGCTGGGTTGGTGGAGGGGCTGGTGGTTTAATAGAGCTGTTCTGCTGGTGTGTGGGTGTGGGGTGTGAATGGTGCAGCCTGGAGCTGGAAGACAAATGAGGTCCCCTCTCTGCTGGGTGGTGCAGTGCATTAAATCAGCTCTTTGACTAATGGTCATCACTTTGTTCCAGACAGCAAAGAGGGACCCCAGGGCAGTGTTTTAACAGCAGGCTTAGGGAGCTGCCTGAAGCTGTTAAAAAGTTGGAGTTGTTCAATAGATTTCCTTTCTCTACAGCAGGACTGTGCTCCAGATCCTGCCACTGCCTGGCAGGCACAGGAGGCAAGAGCCAAGTGAGCAGTTAGGGTGTGGGAGCCTGGACACCAGGTATCTCCTGGGTTTTCTCCCTCCCTCCCTGTGGGACCCTGGTCCAACCTTTTCCCCCTCCTTGCCTCAGTTTCCCACCTGTGCCAGGAGACAGGATTGCATGAAGTGCTGGCTGGAGGATAAACTGGGATGGTGGGTGGGGAAGGACAGGTAGGATTTGGTTTTCTTTTCAAGATCAGCTGCTCCAATTAGTGTTATATCAGAATCAAGCTGCTGTTTAGAGACACTTGGTCAACTTGGACGTTATCTTCTCCTTTCCCCCACGGCAGCCTCCCTCCCCAGGAAACCTGATGGAGCTGGGAAGTGAAGAGGAGCCTCTTTTGAACGAAGCTGCCCACAGAGCCACCACCCCCGCCCCCTCCCCCGTGCCTGTGAAGCTCTCCGATGTGGTCCTGGTGGAGAGGTGAGCTCCTCTGCTCTCCCTAGCCCAGGATGGGAGCAGAACTCCCCGCCTTGCAACCCCCAGCCCTTCAGCAGGGCTGCGGGAACCTGCCGGGCACAGACACCTCGGGGCAC